TACGTAGTTTAGTCAATTCTCGTTTTAAAGCGTGCAACGTGGGTCGTTTTCGAGCGGTTTCACGAGCGGTTATATCATGTGGTTGCCCGGCCGGAGTAAAAGTTTCCCTGGTTTCCGCCCGTCTCGACCTCAGGGGTGCCGTACAGGGAATCCTCTGCGGGACAAGCTTCCTAAATAACGTCAAAGTGCCGGAACTCTAGCCTTTAGCGCGTGGGAACCGTCCGATCTGGCAGGCGATTTTTGTGACGAATCTCGGCCGCTCATTTTATGCCAACCATCTGTTGGTGCCCTCTCCAAGTTCTAGCGCATGCATAGGCATGCAGTGTATTACCGGTACTGCCGTACTGCCGGTAGTACCGTACTACCGGTAGTGGCACGACCCTTTCACACCTACTCGCTGCGAACTATTATTTTTTCGCTTTCATTTTTTCACACCAGCCCACCGACCAATTCCGAAAGTTCACACCATAGAGAAAACCCTAGGAAGTTAGCAGTGCAAACCTTGCTTTTTGCATGGAACCGCAACCCTAACCAGCTTTCACAATTTCACACCGGCCTGTTCAGAATTATTTATTTTTTTCACACAAGCCCAGAATAATTATTTTTGGTGTGAAAGGGTCGTGCCAATACGGTACTACGGTAGGTAGTAGGCAATCATCCGCAATGCGCACGCAGTGCTGGCATGCACCGGCGGCGCGGCTTCAACTTGAAGCCTGTTCTCGCCGGCCGGTCGGGCCACTTCGCGGCCGCGCGTCCCAGAGTCGTCCGGCCATTGAAACCCGGCGACCGATGATTCAAGTTCGCGAACTTGAATGATCGAGCGGCGGCGCGAGCCGCGGCCTAGGCTCGGAGTCCGTCTCAGCCTGGTACGTACGGTACGCGCGCGTAGGCGCGGCAGCAGCATGCAACAGGCTGGCGCGCGCGCACTGCATGAGCTGGCGGCCATGCTGCTGACTTGCACAGCTACAGACGTAGCTACGGCTGATGGGAGAGGCGGTCACTCTCACTTGGGGCATAGCTTATATGGAAGAGAGCCGCGTCGACAGAAGGGTATAAGATATGCAGCTGAGCTAAAACACTGGTTTTGCGTAAAGGGGTTGCAAAATGGCAGCATCAAGTTTTATAATAGGGTCGGGATATGCCTTCTGTGATCTGTCTTCATTTCCTTCAGCACCTGCATTAGAGCTTCAGTACATGGACCCTTAGAATCGGTACGCTTGAATTACCTTTTCTCTGCATTTGTGCGGCCCGTTTCTGACCATCGTGGGTGTAGTTGCTCGCTTTTGAAACTCTCAAAAGCGCACCTTCCGTTCTGCTATAGGGGTCCAGGAAAGGCCTCGAAGTCTTCAATGTTTTATGGAAGGGGTCCCGAAATTGCTTAGGGCGGTTTTAGCATAGGGTCCTTTTTGTGCAAGGGCAGACGCGCCTATATCCAGGTTTGAAGCGAGTGGCCGCCTCTCCGGCTGATGTTAGTGGTTTGCATGATCATTTCAATCTCGTCTCATCCAAAGCCACTAAGTAGGCGTCGGTGAGTCTGCATCGGCCCGAGTGACCATGTACAGGCGCTCGTATACAGGCGCTCCCCTGCGGCGCGCAAGCTCGATGGCCATTCTTAAGTCGGCCCGGGACTTCCGTTGATGGCATGCGTCGGAGCCATCAGCCGACCTCCATGTTCATGCTACCGCCGCGCTGATTGCAAAATCCTGATGCATGAATCTGGACCTGACTACCTAGGCTTTGAGCAATTAAAATCAAGGGTTCACACCGCACCGCTTGAAGCTGAGATCTCGAGATAGCGCATGTGCCTCCCATATGATAGCATGTCAAATCTCAGCATCACCCTCGATCGACAATCCGTGTCTAGCAGACATATACCGGATGGAGATAGCGGCAGATTGAATAGACGCAAGTCTGCGCATGCGTACGGCCCGTTCTACCAGCCGGCAATATTGCAACCATGCATGCGAAAGTTCGTGGGCGAGTGGTCTCTAAATTGCCTCTGAGGCTGAGCGGTGAGTTCGTCGTGAAGATCGCGAAATCGACATCAGCAAAGAACTCGACGAAGTCGCTTGAACCGAAACAGAACCTTCATTTTAGTTCAGACGGTGCATGCAATGCAGTGTCCCGGATGTTCGGCGCGAGCTCAGCTGCACAAGCGTGATGTTTATTTCGGCGGTGGTTCAGGAGGTTCGCAAAGAGTTTCGTTTCTCAGCGTCAGTGAGGCAACAGTCGATCGCGGCGCCGCTTTCAAGCGGACTAGGAAGGGATCTTCTGAGCGCAGCGCCGATGGCTCCTTAGGACCAGCCTTTAGACAAGCTCTTTTTTCACTCCTGTACAACAACATTGATTTCCTTTGGTTCTCTGCAAGGCGCACGACCTCAGATTCTCAGGCGCACGAGCGCTCTTTCTTCGGAGAATAAAACTCTGCATCCAGGCAGCATAGAGGGCCCCCTTGAGTAAGGTTGCTGTCTCTCATTCACTTCACCGGCAAGGTGCTCGGGCAACACGCGCATGGATTCGGCGTTTGTGGAGAGTTTTGCCTCTCGGTTCCTCTCTGATGATCCTTCGAAGCTCCTGGAAGCCTTGAAGCTTCTCGACGAGGCCAGAACGAGGTCGCGCAATCTGCTGGGCGAACGTGTGCGCTTTGCGAGAGCTGTCCAGGAGCTGGCCATCTATAGACAGGGTTCAATCATCAAGAACCTTACCAAGCAGTTGCTTCAAGAGCAGGAAGAATTCGACGCTTATACTAGTGCATGCCTCAAATCTGTCACCGATTTGTTCGGGTGTACAAGTATAGAGCAGCTCGGGTTGTCATCTATGATTGTACTCCCACCTACACAAGACCTTCAAAGTCAGGCTGCTTCGATCCTGGTCCTCTCGAGGCTGGCAACCAGCAAGGTAGTCGCACAAACGTGCCTGACCAACAAAGATGTTGTGAAGAAGCTGGCACGCAACCTCTCCAAGAAGATAGCGCGTATTGAAACGGTCACTGCTGACTCTAGGGATGTCGTCTGTACTCTTCAAGGGATTGCCAACTTTGCTCACGCATCGAAGCTGTTCCGGCAGGAGATGCAAGCGATCAACATGAATCTGCTGCCTGCAGTCCAAAAGCTGTTGTCCAAGCACTACTTCTTCTTGAGCGAGGAAGAAGTTTATGCGTCAACGGAGTCACTGGCCCGACTTATTGAAACCTTAGCACTGTCATCAGACAGCCGCGTCTGGATGATCGACACAGGTGATCTTCAAGTTATGACAGAGCTCTTCCGTTTCGAGAGGCCCGCCAACAAAGCTGAAAAGGAAGACGTGATAAGTAGATGTGCTTTCTCACTGCTGCGGTTGCTCGAATCGAAGGAGTGTCTACAAAAGATGAGGGAGTCTGATGTGTTCTCGCTTCTGAAACCGTACTCCAGCCTACTGGACAATCACACTCCTCGCTTCTGGAGTCACCTCGAGAACAAACTGCTGGACGACGCGTACGACAAGAACTTGAAAGAGGTTCTGCCAAGTTTCCAAGGATCACACCCTGTATGGAAGTCCCTGAGAAGAGCCGACTTTGCCGTGCCAACGGTCTGCTCGTGGGGCGATTGTACCGCGCTAGAGTCGGCATCAACAACAGCTTTCAGCAAGTGCGGGCGATGCGGTGTGGCACGCTATTGCAGGTAAGTCGCTTATCGCAGTTTTTGTTCCTATATGTTTATATCCCTTGCTTATAGATGTCTGTACTCAAGGAAGCTGGTTCTCGTTGCAGATATGGAAATCATCATGATGGTCACTGCTGATGTCGGGAGCTAGTTGCTCCCTTTGAAGGACCAGATAATAAGCAATGCTTCATCGCACTTTCCTTTCCATCACTCGGGTTTGAGGCAACGAACGATCTAAAATTAGGACCATGGACTCCAACGACATGTCTCGGCGAGAGCGGTGTCTGAGCTTTGACTGTTTATTCCACAGCAAAGAGCACCAGAAGCTTCATTGGCCAGCGCACAAGAAACACTGCTTGTCAAAAGCAGAGGCGTCTTTTGGAAAGTAGATAGTGCCCACTTCTTTGCAAGGTCGAACCAAGTGCAAGCACAGGGAAGCGAGCTCTTAAAAGATGCATGAGGCATGCAAAGAGCATCTTCTCGTTTAGGTTCTTGCAGTGTCATAAATAGAAGGTCGGGTTCAGCGTAACTGTGAAGCTTGTGAAAGTGACCAATGGGCCATCTCGAGAACTCGTAATCCGTTGATCGATCGGAGATCTCCGTTTCTCTCTTTCTGGAACGGGTAGCCTTGCAATGGCTCTCGGTCTATCGCTCAGCTGCAGTAGCACGATCCTTGCAATACGTGCAAAGTCTGCATATTCTCGATATCCCACGCGAGTTTGCACTATGGAAGGGTGTTCGATTGAGGATGCAGGATATTCTGTTGAGGCATCTGCATGTGCTTTATCTGCTCATTCACCTCATGATCAGTCAACTGCATGATACCGTTTACATATATTCACGTTGATGACAAGTCGCGGTTTTTCCAAATTCACAGTTGCGCTTTGCAATCAAGGGCCGGTCGGAAAGCCATTCTCTCAGAGTTTGCTCCAAGATTGAACGGACAAATGGTGGATCTCAATCAATGCAGTGTACAGCAAAGTCAAGGCATCCCATTCATTGAGACTTTTGATTAAGCTTATTTTGGATCAGTCGGTGATCTCTGTCCGAGCAAAGCTATTTTTTTGCGATGTCCAGATCAGAGATGTATGCCAGACTGTCTATTGCATTGAAACCTTGATCCATTTGCAATCATCATGGTTAGATCAGGGTCAGATACAGCCTTGGAAACTGTACTTATGTTGCCCCTCTTTTTGAATGATCTGGAGCTAACGGCACATAAAATACGAGTCTACTTCAACTGCCCACTCCCGTCGGTTAAATCGATCGAGCCGGCCGCGCGCGGTTCTGATTGCGCGCGCTGCTTGGGCCGGGCGGCCGCATCTGCATCTCTCTACAATCTACTGTAGTAACCGTGAGCGTCGTCGGTTGGTTGAACACTTGTGGCATTCGTGTCCGTTTCCAGTATAGAGTCGAAGATTAGCTGAAACGACGCAGATCACCTGAACGGGATTGCACGGCTGCAGTACAAGATGCATCATTAAGTCGCGATTGCCCTTTACTCAAGCACCGTTGCAGATCTGAGATATGGTGGCACGTGGTTTGCAGATGAGCGGCTTTTTGACTCTGTTTTCCTGGATCTGGCGGCTGAACGACTTAGTCTGAATTACTGTACTTGTAGGAACGACGAAGCCAGCGATTGACTGAAAACTTCAAAAAATCAAGCTGTGCAGAGAATATAGCTATGTAGACGTTTGCAGCCCGCTGAAGCACTGCCGACTACCCTAAGCATAGCGTCCTGTGCTTAGGAAACTTGCTCGAGCTTGCAAGGACTTTGGTAGGGCGCATGACTACGGGACGAAGGAGATGGCACTTACGAGGAACTGCGGGCGATCTAAATAATAGCGGCGCAACACTTACATTCACGATTACGTTTCGTTCATTGAAGAACTGAATTGAACAACATGAGCGGGTTCGAGATGTGGAGTTCGAAAATGCCTCATCATATTCTCTGGCCCGAATCTCTTTCCCCGTGTGTCCTGTAGCAAAACCATTTTTGTAGCTTGTTTTTTGTGCCCAGAAGTCTAGATTCCTTGAGTAGGCGGAGAGACTGACTGCGAAGGCCGATGTGCAATCCACTGATGTCCTTTCTATGGAGAAGATGCTCATATGAAAAGGCTCCAATTTTCCATCAGTGATCAGTCACATAACATTCAGTTACAAGCTAATACGCAAGACTTGAAGTAAGAACGGTGAGAGCAATCAGAAGCCTGACAAGCCGCTTTAATGCCAGAAATCCGATTAGAGTATGTTTGCTCTTTCAGGGATCGATCCCGCGCTTAGAGGTTGGACTGCCTTGATATGACAATTTTTGAACGACAAAGCCATTGCATTCTTGCGTACAACAGAATCTGCGCGAGCTTGTGCCTTGAACCAGGAATATTAGTAATTTGAATGTGAAGTAGAGAACATACGAGCCGCAAATCTGTCTTCGACAAAGCAGAAGACTCATGCTACGACATTCATCGACGCCGCTACGCTAGGACTTTGGATGACGAAGACAGGAAAATCACGCCTTCACTGAGTCCTTGCCTCTCTGATTTCGCCTCTAACTCACCCCGGCTACGATACATTCATCAGCGTTGACTATCCTAAAGGCTTCTCCCCCTTCGAGAGGGAGTGCTTCTTGTGCGATGGCCAATGAAGCTTCTGGTGCTCCTTGCTGTGGAAAAAGAAAACGTCTATCAGACGCGGGTTCTGACCAATTGAGTGCCCCGACAAAGCATTTCAGTTAAAAGCGGCAAAACACTTTTCAAGGCATCTACGGAGGCAGGTGCTTCGTCGGTTCCTGGCTCATGAATGCAACGCTTTCGGTGTTTTGTTGTCCCCAGATTCAAAAAACCTGGTGCATTTTCTCTACATATATCAAAGTTTCTCTCTACCGGTTTCTTCAAGCAAACAGATACACCGACACCTTCAGAAGTCACTCACCTGCAGTATGGTGCCACACCGCATCGCCCGCACTTGCTGAAAGCTGTATCTGAATGCGACTCTACCGCGGCACAGTCCTTCCACGAGCAGACCGTGCGAATGGCAAAGTCGGCTCTCTTGAGGCCCTTCCAGAAGCGCGTTGTAAAAACGTAATGGATCTTTTGCTTGCTGCCCGCGTCGTCTGAAAGTTTGTTCTCAATGTGACTCCAGACGCCAGGCAAGTCATCTAGTTCCAGCACTTTGGAGACGGGTCTTAGAAGGGAAAGTACATCACACTCTTTCATCTTCTTGAGGCATTCTTGGGATTCGAGGAGGCGCAAAAGCGAGAAAGCAGACCTGAGTATAACGTCTTTTGTCTCTTTTTCCCCTGGGCGTTTTGTCCGGAAGAGTTCTGCCAGAACGTGAATGTACCCCGCGTCAATCATCCAACGTCGGCTATCGATGGAAAACGACAAGCTCTCAATCACTCTGGCCACTGCCTCCCTTGATGCGTAGATCTCGTCCTCTTCTGCTGGCAAGATGTACTCCGAACACAGTATCTGTACTGCAGGCAGGAGATTCATTCCGTTCGCTTCCATACTCTGCCGGAACAGCTTTGATGCTTGAGCGAAACTGGCGATGCCCTGGAGTGTGTACATGATCTCCCTGGAATATCCACTGAATGGTCCAACCCGCCCTAACTTTTTCGAGAATATTTGCATCATTCTCTCAACTACTTCCTCTTTGGACAAGAACACCTGAGCTACTACCTTGCTGGTTGCCATTCTCGAGAAGACCAGGATGGAAGCAGCCTGCTTATGAGGATCTAGCACATCTGGGTTGAAAATGGAATGAAGAACCTCCCCTGAGTTCGTTGAACGGAAATGTTCTGCGAGAGATTCAAACAATGCATCATGCAGAGCCTCTAGCTTGTCTTGCTCTTGGAAAAGCTGCTCGATGAGCTTCTTGATGACGGCACCCTGCTTGTAGATGGCAATCTCTTGATTTACCCTGGAGAAGCGCACAGGATGTTCCTTCAATTTGACCCGGAGCTCATCAAGACTCTCCATGGCGTCTAAAACCTGCGAGGGGTCGGCGGAGAGGACACGAGAAACAAATTGCTCCACAAACGGCAGATCCATTGCTCCTGTCAATTGCAGATAAGTGCCTCAGAAGCTGCCTTAGGTTGTCTTGCCAGTCTCAAAGAAACAGCACCCTTACTCCAGACTCGACGACTTTCCCGAACTCGTTTGCTTCATTGCAGAGCATCTTCCCAGAGATGCATGACCTGCTGTTGAATCAAGCTCTTGCAGCGTCTCGAAGCACTGCAGAAGAAGGTGCATGCGCGAAGCAAAGATCACGCGCTTCTGACGTGCTGCGCCCATGAAACTGCAAGAAGCTGCGCAAGAAGCCCCTGCGCCAGTCCGGAATTTCTGCTATTAATCAAACCCCTCGCGGCCTCCAACGCATGGGCGCCCCAAACGCCGTTCCTGATGTGACTTCCTGATGCAGTACTCTGCTGCGCATAAGTTTCGGAAAGTGATAGAGCTGGGTTAAGGAGAAACCCTACTCCGCAGTAGACCCTTCAAGATACTGAAGCACTCTAGTACCCTCTAGTACTTTGATTCCAGGTTCAAGAAGAAGGGTTACCCCTTAACTTCCCAGCTCGGTTACATATTCCTAGCTCTTCTATTACATCTTAGGTGACCTGATTTCAAAGGCTTAACTAAGTTTTTAAAAGACCTGGCCCCCGCACACTTAACCAAGCCAAACCCGGCCCATCGTCTGCACGCCTTTTTTCAACATCTGCACACAGCGTGAAGCAGCGCATGACGTTCTTTCGTCAAGCAGTTTACCCTCGTCAAGTTGCGAGAGGCCACTTCGACCATGTTGTTACAACCCACTGTGATGTCAATACCTCTCTCGTTTAAAGCTGCAGGCATTCGATCTGACGCTATCACCTCGCAGCGAATCTTAATGCGCAGGTTCCACAAGAAGTTTGAGGCATTTATTTGCGTTCAAACACATCAGGGTCGTACATTAGTGTCCTTGAAAATTTGGCACACGTTGCCATCGTACGCCGCGCGCCTCTTGTGATGCGCAGGTGCTCTTAGTAAGCTAAGCGAGTTTGCCTTTGCAGAGTTCCAAACTGAGGGAGTTTCCGCCCCTGCGTTCAAATGCTGCCCTGCGTTTGAGTTCGTACTGAAGCCAAAGCTAGCTTCATGTATCTAGACTCTAACTTAAAAAGTTGGAACGGCGGCGCTGGGCCCCAAGCCGCCATCGCGATCCGCATGCTTTACGGTGCGGCCAGACGGGCTATCCCGCAAACTTCAAGCGCGGACCACAAATGTCTACGTCATTGCTGCTGTCAGTTGTTTTGATCGCAGCCATATTTCATGATTCACTGGGCATCTGGGACGTGCTGGCGGACTCTACAAGCAGCCAGGCTCCAATCGTGCACGCAACCTCAATCGCGGGATAAAAGGGTCTGGAATCGAACTTCATTGGATTGCTGCTGCGCTATCGCTCGTCGTTTGCATCAGTGTTACCCATAGCCAAGCATACATCATGCACCGGCACTCATCAGAAACGTGCCTCGCAGGGCACTAATTGAGAAGCAACAATGGCGGCCCGACTAAGCGCGTGGCCGCATGGCTAGAAGAAACGACTTGTCATGGCACACATGGACCTCGCTCTACACACGAGAAGTCCATGGCGTCAAAATTCGTATCACTTGTCGCACTGAGCGCAGCCGCCTACTCCTGGTCTCTTTAACGTCTTCCCTAAAGTTATGTACAGGTTGATATCCGAGAAGCGGACAAACCTCTCTCAAAGTTTCTAAAACCAAGTAATCTGTCCGCTACAGAAACGCCGCCCTATCATGGCCACCCCATGGAACCGGTCCCTCGACCGTGCGGCTAATGTCCTCCTCATACGCTATCGTCGTACCCGCCCCAGCCATGTTCTCATATCGCGCCTCGCGCGCCGCGAAGTAGAGTGAGATGGAAGCGGCGGGTCCGATGACTGTTCCGTACAGCAGCAGCCTGAGCGCTTTGTGGACGCCCTCTTGGGCCAGGGGAATCGTCAGCAGTCCTGCACGAGGTGACGTCAGAATTGTTATTTGTTCTGCTTGCCTCGGATCTATATCATCAGCTCTTATCTGACATGCCGACGGCGTTGGCAAAGAAGGAGCAGCAACAGTCGCACATCGAACATAGAAGAAGAGCAGTAGATTCTCAATGTAGACTTCTCCATCGACCGCGAAAATAAAAGAAAGAGGCAGATGCGCGGATTCTGAGTCTTTCTGAGATTATTTCTGTTCTAAATTGAACTTCTAACCCTGTTCTGAATCTGGATATTTCAAATTCTCTCGTAAGTTTGGGAAGTTGGGCGGTGTTGGACACTCGAAAAGAACCGCAAACGGCCGGAAAAACAATGGGCAAACAAGGGGTGTCATTCTGCCCTATCAGCAACTGCATCCGAGTCACAACAGATTTCCGCGGTCGCATCTGCTTACCGTTCTCCATGAATCTCGTGAAGAAAGATATGCTACTATCTGGAATCTGGGCTAGAAAATTTTACGTTCTATTATTCTGCAGAAGTCTCTCACTATGGGAAGGTCTAGAAGAGTAGCTTTGCGGCACGAAAAAACAAAACGAGACGTTATATATCAAGAACGTTAGCACAAGGGTGCGAGGACTTTTTGCGGTGTACAACGATACGAAGGAAAGTGCCTAGTCGTTTGAGGCTGCTGAAATACATCGGACCGGGAGCCGGAAAGTCTAACCCCTGGTACTGATTTTGTACACTGGCGGATTTTGCTTTGTAAAAACCTAGACTGTCTCTATATGACATCCCTCCGTTCCCAGCTGGTTGCATCCGAAGTTGTCACCCAAGAACGGTCAAACTCCACTCGCAAGATCAAACCATGTGCGAATTGAATCAACGCATGGAACCGATCCGGGCACGTGGCAAGATGCTACTCGTCTTCCGGGCTTCCTTGTGAGTGCGATTCGAGAAACTCCTTATAAGTGCGTGCGTCAAAACCGGACATCCTTCGATACAGCTAAACTGCGCGCGCGCCAGATTCAGAATACACCCAGATTGCGGAGCCTTCTGAGACGATGTGCGCGCGCGCGCGCCCACCTTACTCCTGAACAGCCTCGACCGCGATCTCGACCGCTACGCCCTCGGCCTGCGCCACTCTCCGCTCGATGGCCGCCTCGCGGTTCGCGAAGTAGAGCGACACCGCGGCCGCGGGGCCGAAGAGCGCGCTGATCAGCAGCAGCCGGAGCGCCGCGTGGCGCCCCTCTTGCGCGAGCGGGATCGTCAGGAGCGCTGTCCGCAGAAGGGGGTAATTTCGGCTGATGTGATAACCAAAAGGGGCAGCTTGAGTTGGATCAATGAAGAGTGCAGTGTTTCGTCAGAGCCCCTACCTTGTTCCGCGCTTGCGAACGCAACGGAAGAGCAGGTGCCAAGGGGGGTTAGAGAACTCATGATCACGGAGCGAATGGAACGGAAAAGCAACAAAGCGGAACGAAACGGGGCGGAACGGAGCGGAGTCCTGACCTGCCCACAGGCCCAGCGCGTTGGCGGCCACGAAGACGGCGGGGCGCGCGCGCATGGGCGGGTCGATGAACGCGCGCGCCAAGTCGGCGAGCATGCGCGGGTTTTGGACCAGCGCCATCACGCTTGAGATGTGCTGCAGGCATAAGAAGGGCGCGAGTTAGTAGTCTTCAAACGGAGCGAGTAGCGCGTCATTTTATATGGGCTATCCCTGAACTTTTCATCCGCACAATTTTTTTCCGGAAATTGGGTCAAGACATTCAAATGTTGTGGAGGTAATGGTGCGAGAAGGAAATGGAGGGTTGCCCCTGTCGCTATCTTCTCGACTCCGGGGAGGAAGATCTAGTGGCTGGTTCATCTGCTCTCTTCAGAGTTTTCAGTCATCAAGTTCAAAGAAAAGTGCTCATTATTTCGAAAGACTTGGAACGTAATGAGGTCTTTCCGGCGACCGATCGCCTACCTGCGCCATGCCGATCCCCGCCGCGAAGCTGTGGATGTGCTCCGCCGCCCGGTGCCCGATCACCGGGGCGTCTAAAACCCCGAGCCAGGGCGCGGGCGGCGCGGCCGCGAGCTGCCAGAGGAGCGGCAGGCCGAGCAGCAGCAGGGGGTTTAGGGTTTGGAAGCGGGTGACGAAGTAGACGGCGGAGGAGAGCAGGATCGCGAAGTTGAGCGCGCGCACGACCGCGGTCGGGACCGTCTTCGCGAGCGCGAGGCGCGTCGGGAGGCAGTCGCCGGACGTCTGCAAGAGGAGGGGCGTGATTACAGCAATTTTCATGAAACCTGTCCGAATGCACGTAAAGGTTTGACCGCCGGGCACGTTGTTGTCGCTCGGTTTCGGTGCACGGTATCCGCCTACCGCTTTCTGTGCCTGGACAGGAGAAGGGGCCCGGTACCGATTTGAAGCGACGGGCCGTCAAGGAAAACCGGGGCCCGGTTTCAACATTCGATACCGTGTACCGGAACGGAGCGATGATACCGTGCACGGCGCTTAGAACGTTACCGTGCACGTGGACAGGTTTGGTGCAACTGCTGTAAAAGCTGCGGTGTTAATCTGGCTACAAGACAGTACAGGTCGAGAAAGGCTTCCTGTAGCGGAACAAGCTTTAATGACGGTGCAGTGTTCTAGAAACGGCAGTTGCCTTTGCACTCAAGTAGATAAATCAATCCACTGAGCGGCACCGGCACGTGAAGCAAACACACACTCAGACCCCGAAGACGAATGTAATACAATTGCACCTCAAGCCCCTTCCAACATCTCCAAAATATGGAGAATATGATGTAGAAAAGAGTGAGACAAGCGATAAAGTGAAAGAACAGGTTGGCACCGTTCTTTTCACGTCACCTGAGCCAGCTCTCAGATCTCAAAGCCCGCCAACATGTAAGCTCACCGTATTTCCGGGAATCGTAAGGTACGGAGCGACCCAGCTGATCGGGACGAGCACCCCGGGCCCCAGGAACATGGCGATGGGCGCGAACGCGGAAAAGTACCGCACCAGGCGCGCGCGCGCGGCGTCCAAGCGTGCGGACTCGACCGCGGCCGCGAGCGCCCACGAGAGGAGGAGCGCGGAAGAGTAGAAGAGCGCGAGCGCGCCCCAATCGTACGCGGCCGCGTCCTCGAAGAACGCGACGAGGAGGGCGAGCCACGTGTCCACCGTGCGGATGCCCACGTGAACGGGCTGTGTGGGAGGGAAGAATGAGAAAGGGAAAATTGGTTCCGCAAAGGAATGAAAATGCGCGATGAAGGATAGTGTATCCTTTTCAGAACGATTGGGGAAATCCTTCTTCGAAAACGTTTTGCGCGCTTCAACGAAGAGGGCAAGCTTTCACATGATCAGACGGTCTCTTGATTTCTGGAAGCAGTCACGTTCAAGCGTCCTGAGATCAGAATGCAACGCGACTTGCGGATTTGCGAGATTAAATGGACCCCGGTATCCTTGATCGGGGATGATTCGTAGAGCTTCCAAAAAAGCATTGGATTCGGACTTACTTTCTTCACCCGTATATATCAGCGATCTTAGACTCTTGTATCTTCCCCGTGGAGAGCTATCAGTGTCGAAGCTCGAGTTACCTGCCCTTGTCCATCAGCAACATGAATTTTCCTGGAGTCGCAGGAGCTCAGCAGATCCTCCGTCTCAAAGTATAGTCTGATGAAGCACAAACAGCTGGCGGCGCAGCTGATGGCGCGACCGATTGCGAAGCAAGCAGAAACCCTAAACCCCAAATCCCGACAACTCTGCTCACCGCCCAGCCGCTCGCGCGGATGACCGCGAGGTGCGAGCGCGCCCAGGGGATAATGGTGGGGTAGGAGTACAGGGCAGTGGTCAGACCGATGAGCACGGGAGGAATCACCGACCGCTTGACCTTCTCGGGGTCCGGCACTGTCGTTCACAACGGAACGGAAGTGTGTCAGCGGAACGACAGACGGTGAGCCGAAACGCCAAAGGATAATCGAGCTCTTCGAACAGAATACAAATCAATCGGAGTTTAACCTGTGCAGAGTGAAGCAACGTAGTCGGAGCAGAAAGATCTTTCCGTTCCTTTACTGAGAAGAATCTCTTCTTAAACGGTAAGATTAGTTGTACGCGCAACTTCAAAGTCCAGATGCGGAAAACGTACTTCTTAGTTTTAAAAAAAAGCAGCATCTACTGATTCATGTAGCTCTCAGATCAATGGCAAGGACCATCACTCAAAGACGGAAGAGTGCACTTACTTGCATCGACATCGAGCGGCTCCTGCAAAACGGAGCAAACCTTAATTGCCTCGTGTTCATTTTTCTCTTGGAATAGAGGCTGACTGATCATGAAAATAGATCTTGCTAGTGGCGAAACTCGCCGGCGCAATCGAGAAAGCCTGGTTCGAACAAACATGCTCAAAAGACAACCCTCTCGGGTTTTATTGATTGCGTTCTGGTCGCATCTTCCTAAGAGAGGCTGATTTCGGTATATACGCTTCGCTGATTTTGTCAACTTGAAAGATCATTATTTCACGCCAATCTAGCAATGACTTGAAAAATCACTTGGACTCAATTTCCCGTTTTCAAAGGCCCACGCAAGCGCATGATACCTATCCTAAGCGTTCATGCACCAATCTAAGCCAATCCCGAGCAGCACTTCTTAGCGGTTGTACGTGACGTCAGAAGCGAAATTCTTACGTTGGGGAGCACCACAGCGTCTGAACCTCCTCCATTGATCGCCCGCACAAGCATGCTCCCTCCCCTGTGCCGCCATCCCCTCTCCCTCTTTTTGCTGGTATACAGACCCCCCTGCGTCCGACAAATGGACAGAGAAAACCGCCTGAAAGACGCCAGGCTCTCTGCATGCGCCTCTCCGCTGGCCTTGAGGTTGTGCGCGCGCAACGTGGGAGCCGGCCGCGTGGTCACACTCGCGCCTCCGTTCAGCGCGCACAAAGCGCTTGACGCACTTGGCGGCGCCCTCAGAGCCGGACGCGCAAGCTGAGCGGTCGCCATCTTCCGGGTCCTTCAATCTATCCAGAAGAATGACGCTGCATGCAAAAGGCGGGAGCCTCCCCCCCTGCTTTTTCTACTTGGAATGGGGTTTGTCCTCCTCGTATTACTACCTTTACAAGCGGGAATCCTCCTCTGTCTTCTTCTGAAGTGGTCCTTTCTGATACGATTCGAGGGTCCGCCTATCAACCGAATTCTGTCTCACCTTGAATTTCGTAAAGGACGGGTTTCGATCTGCAAGCTTGCGTGCCAATTTCATAGCTTCACAGCGTAGGAAGGGGCGATGAAAATCGAGAGGAGCACGGTCTTCAGTAGCTTTCAAATTTCAGGCACCTTCACTTGGCAGAAAAGGAAGCTAGAGCATTGGTTGGAGCTCTCCCAGACGAGCTGACGTTACAAGCCTTCTGACGATACGACAGTTTTTGTGACGGCAGGAGAACTTGCATGCCAGCGGCATGGGCCACGTCATTCGTTGATTTTTGCGCAGGTCATTGACGGATCTTCGAAGCACCAAATGCGAACCAGCACCAGCAAATCGGCATGAGTACGACAAGAGCTGCGCCTGTGCTTTGACGATGCGTGGCGCCATGCACAAGCTACTTTTCACTTCCCAAGTCATGGTCTCAAGGCAGCCTCGCTTAGTGAATCGCTTCCTTTTTAAGGCCACCGCCTCCTTCAAATTGGCAAAGTTTTATTCGCAACTTTCAGCCAACGTGCTTCGGATTGACAAGCTGCTGCAAAGCTAGATCGGAAAGGATCCTGGCGTGATGAGACAGAGTCAAAAAACTAGAGGCTTTTCGAATAGTGAAGCGCAGACATTCCCTCAAGCGCACAGAAAGAATTCAGGGACTCCGAGCTGAGCGGGAAGTGCGTAACTCTCTGCAGGTTGTGGCTGCGGCAGCTTCACAAATGCATATATCTAGCTGCAGAGATCTTCTGCGGCATTTCAATGACTCGAAAAAGTTCTGCAATTTGCGCGTTCGTTCATACTGCACCGTTGATGCAAATGTAAGACAATGCTTTATATGAGCAAGAATCCGCTTTACATATCGTTATATTCAAGAAGGCGTATAAACTCATATGATCGTAGATTATTCAGCTAGCGGGGCCAGGCTTGCTTTAAGTCACATGTTTAGCAAGCACTCAGCATGTGACAACACAAGTTGTGCATGATGCACGTGTTGCACCACACATGACAATGCACTTCTATCTATGTACGTGTTTCAATGAATCAATGATGAATGCACTTTACTTCTGCCTTGCAAGCAAGCCAAATCAAACGCATTTGGATAAGAACGAAATGGAACTGTTGAACGGATTTAACAGGCAGCAGAAGTAGAAGTTGCGCGCAAGCAGCCCTGAGAAACTACAGATAGAGCGTGACATGTATACAGTAATTGACGCAACTTTCACTGTCAGGGTGGAGTGTGCTAGGCTGAGTGCTCAACTTGAGTTACTGTACACCAATCTCTCGTAGAACCTCCGCTTATGTGAGCAAAAATTGTTGATTATACCCAAATACCAATATGTGACCTCTCATTACCCCTATTCAGTAGGGCCCCGCAATCGCGCCGGGTGCCAAATGGGTACTCAATCTGTAAGAACCCGTCCTGACGTCAATGTGATTACCACCATTGCACAGGATCACGATTTTTTTTTTGACAGCTCAACTCAGCATTTCTCTATTTTTAAGTCAATGTCGCAACAACTCCCAACAACCATCTCACGGCTTCTCGTCTCTGCGCCGCTTTGACCCCAAGTCCCACTTCCACAGCTTCGGCGTAGCTTGCTTCCTCCTCTCCCGTTCGTTCGTCCAGATGAACTCCTGCAGCGCAGCCTCCGGCGCAGCAAGCGCCAGATTCGTCGCCTCTTGACTCGCCTTGGAGCCCGCCGACGGGCCACCCCCGAGCTGGCTCCCCGACCCCATCCTTCCCAGCAGATCGAGCGCCCGGTTCGGTTCCACCGAGCGGCCCAGCCCGACTTCCAACCCGCTTCCCAGCCGATCAAGTGCCCGGTTGGCATCCACCGAGCGGCCCAGACCAAGTCCCGACCCCGGTCCTGGCTGGATAAGTGCCCGGTTGGTGTCTACCGGGCGCCCAACGCCAGACTCCCCGCTGGCTTCTCGAGGGCCGGTGGGAAACCAGACCGGTGCAGCTTCGGCAAGTGCGGACGCGGGACGCGGAGGTGGTGATGACATCGGCGAGAGAGCGCGGGCCCGGAAGGGGCTGGTGGCCGGCTGGGTTGAAAGAGCAGCCTGCAGATAGTCAAAAGAGACTTCGGACGGCCGTAGATTGAGACGGAAGTCCATACACCTCTTGCAAGGGGACGTATCGAATAGTTTACTTTGCGGACCTACCGACCAGGCACAAGAGATTGGTAAAGCAATTGGACGTACGAACGCCGCACTCGGCATCATACAGCAATCGTTTGGAAAATTGAGGCGAAGACAAGCGAACGCGTTTGACCGTTCCACCGTCATCTTCTGACCGGAAAGTCAAGCGCCTGAAGGTGATGAAGCGAGCAATGATGTGCACTTAGCCCCGCGAAAACAAACGTTGCATTTTACGATACAGCAACTTACCCTCTCGTCGACACACAGAATAATTGGCAGCTTGCTTGAAGATAACTAAACTCGCGAGATTCTCCTTTAAAGCAAGGACGATCACGTCAAGATTAATGCGTAGGCCGGATTCACACCAAACCAGCTCAGGCGTCTGAGCTGACGTGAACCCCTTCTTACCTGTGCCGGGTCTTCAGGCTCCCCACGAGGAATGGGGGGTTGAGAGTGCGCACGAGACCGCTTTCGGTGCTTGGGGGGTCGACTTGGCGCATCTGCTCCTCCAGTCTGATGATGCAACAGCTGTGCCAGGTGATGGTACCTTTGCAAACCTGGGTTGAGGAAAATATGCGTTTCAAGACTCTGCTTATCACCCGCAAGCGTTGCCTGCCAAAGTTTCTTTTGTTGTGCTGAAGCTTACAGTTTCCGAAGTTGTTGAACAACGACATCCACGACATCCACGAACGAGGATGAGGCAACTTAACGAAGAGGGAATCCCGAAGAGTGAAACTTTTCTTCTGCAGCTTTCAAAGGCGACATCTGCACTCAGGAAACTTCGAGCTTTACAATGGCAACCCCCCAGAATCAGTACTGCTTATGTCGATGTAGTGCGATAGTGGACCCGTTGAGCAGCTCGCCGACCTACTCAAACATCCAAGAAGTATGTCCCGAATATCTAAAAGCGGCGCGCGTGCATGAATCGACAGAGCCGATTGTTTTGCAGAGCCTGATCAATACTAGCACAAGGACCGCTTCTCTTTGCAATAATGGAAAGCAACATAAACAAATGCATCCAACAGAGCCACCAGCAAGACGTTGTCAATCCGGCTATGGCACAGACACCTTATGGAAGATGAGCGGACAAGATCCACGCTGATTGCGCAAGCACTTTTTCAACAACGGAACCCAAGGGTTCGAGTCTAGATGGTGACGGCGCACCTGCTGCCGAGTCCTGCGCGGCCATCATCATTGCTGCCCTTGCTTGCGAGATTGCTTGCTCCGCCTCACTCCCACTTGACAACCTCGGGCCGGAATCCATTCGGGCCTCTGCCGCAGGCTGCCACCTGGCCTTCCAAGCATTAATCGGCTCCAAGCTGTACTTAGACGGCGCGGTCGCGCTCGCACTCCCGCTTGCGCTCGCAGCCCCCCCCATGTTTGCCCCGTCAATCGCCCCCCCACCCCGTGCTGAGAACTGCCCTGAATCAGTCTCCGTTCCCAACCCGTCACCTCGCTTCCTTTCCGCCCGTGGAAGCCCCCCTGCCACATCCATATCCTCTTCTACCGAGCCCAAAGCGACCTCCTTCTTATCAGGCACCGTGCAGACCCCCTCCGCCACTCCGTGCGTCGCAGCAGCCCCCACAAATTGCGGCACCTGAGCCGTTTCCTCTGCACTTTGGATGCCCCTAACGCCCTCCACATCTGGGAACACCTCGGCATCTCGCGCCCCCTCTGCATGTCCAACCCCTGCCGCAGTCCGGACGCCCCTCTCACCTTCAACACCGTCTGCATTTCCGTCACAATCCATACCGTCTACCTCCTCAGCGTTTGCAGCCGCTGCATGACGTGCGTCTGAATCAGCCGTGAGCAGATCCACCTGCGCAGTCCAGGCCCGCTCGGCGGAGCCATTTCTAAGGGCGCCCTGTGCGAGTGGCCGGTAGACCCTCGCAGCCCTCGGACTAGCCCCCCCCAAATCCTGATTCGCTCGCTCATGATGCACCGCAGACTGCCATCGCTGATACCAAATAGCCGCTGCTGTCGCCGCATCTCTCTGCGCGTTCGACTGGGGGGTCCCAGAACGATTTCTCCTCAACCCAGGGGGGTCGAGCTCGGGTGCAGACGCAACTTCTTCCTGCCCCCCTGAAGGAATTGGGGGGCCAGAAGGCCGGGGGCTTTTAGGTGCGGGCGCCGTTGTTAAAACCTGCTGGGGGGGTTCCTCTGGCGGAGGCTCAAGGGGGGGTGCCGCAGACCGTTCTGTCGTGCTCACTCTCATCGGGCCTTCTCTGGCAACCCTAGGCAGATCAGCAGTTTCCCCTGGCTTCTCATCCAGAGCTTCAGCCCCGCTCTTGTGCTGCGGCGGACTCTCAAAGCTCTCCTCGCGTCGGCGCTTGCGCACCTGCCGCAAGGCATGCTCAGGCCCCCCCTCACCAAGCGGCAGAGCGATATACCCTCCCTTCCGCTCGGACCCCGTCCCCAACTGCAACAAGTTCCCGTTGGTGCTCTTATCCGCCTCTTGTGACCGCACCTTTTGCCAGCGCGACCGCACCCCGTCCTTCCCGCCGCTTGGGTCCTTGCTCCCAGACCGCATCTGCTCTTCGGCCAGCTTGTTCAGATCAAACGGCTGCCGCTCCCCCTTCCTCCGGGGGGGTGTCCTTTTAGCCCCTTCTGCACCCCCCTGCAAAGACATTGAGGGCTGCTGGGGGGTGCCTTCTCCTTGAGCAGCACCCCCCCGCGCTCCCACCCCCCACCACTCCGCCGCTCGCTTTGGTCCTCCTCCCAGCGGGCCCCCCACAAAGCCCGGAAACCCTGCCAAGAACTGCCGGGTGCGCTCGGTTCCTGGCCCCTCTCCGGCGCCCTCCGCCTCCGAGCGGGGGCTAGCCAAGGCAGGCAGTGAGCTCGGCCCGCCCGCCCCCCCCTTGGCAAAAAAGTCAATCTCCTTGGGAGACTCTGGATGCAAGTGCGCTGATGTTGAAGGGGACCGCATCGCCGTCTCCTCTGCCTTGGGCTCCTGTTTAGCTGAAACTGGCTGCCGCCGCCACGGCTCCTCTTCCAGGCTCCGGGGCGAGGCGCCATGCGCCGCTCTGGACTCTGCCTCAAACTCTGTCTTCACCCGCTTCCTGCTCCTGCTCTCCTCAGGCTCGTCCTTCGGCCGCTTGGAATGGCTCCTTGACGTCGTTGGCCCCTCTTCCCTCTCCCCCTTGGGATTCGGCATCCCCCGAGACTGCTCAGACACTGCCGCCTTGGCTCTACTGCGGAAGTTGCTCTCGTTGCTGGGAGCACCCCGCCGCAGGCCCTTCATCTCGGGAACCCTGTGGATGCCAGGCGACGAGCACTGGCTGTCCACGCTTGCCATGTCTAGTTCCTCCACTTGGACCTGGGAGCGGCCCTGACTCTGGCCCTGCAACCTGCACATTCATCAGAGATGTTCAGCACCTGATGCACATTTGGCGGTCATTACAGGACTAGCAATTTCTGAACATGACAAGGCTCAGCAGCATGTGTTGCAGAGGGTTTTTTCCGACAGGATAGCTTATAGATGCTTGTTGATGCATTGCACGTGCTTCCGGGCAGTGCACGCTGCAACTGTCGTGCTTGCTGTTACAAGCCTTGGCTCATAGAATCAGTCGGAGTGATCTGGAGTGATCCGAACTGTGCACTTCCGCTAGATCAAGAGAGGGACCTTGCACAAAATGCAAGTACAATTTAAATGTGCTCCCACGTCTTGTACACCATGAAAATGGAATAGAATATCTTGGTGCTTCTTGTTTCCACGATGCATAACTAACACGATGTATAACTAACACTTTGCAACTCTTCTCCTCCTTAGAAAGGCTGGAAAAAACAGGTTGCTAGACTCTAGAGTAGGCAGACACACTAGCAAGATCATCTCGAAGTCCCTCACGTTGCGATCAAACCCTGAATGTTTGACGCACGTTCCCATTGTTGTGTACATTAACCATGCACCCTTTCTTGCATTTACATCCATCCTTGACAAGACTGCCTGCTGCATGCTCTGGCGCACATGTCTGACTTATGATACTGTATGCTGGTTCCAGCAGCTAGGTTATTGTCAACCTGCTGGGTTAACAACTCCTAACCAACTAAAGCTTGAAGGAGCAGCAAGGGTGTGCAACAACGAACTGCGCATATGCCACTCACCTGCTGCAGAGGAGGCCCTCCACAAACCTCGCCTCCATCTTGTTCAGATAGTCTGAGTGCTCCTCCTGGCTCCACTGAGAGGTCGTCCCCGTCATGTACGACGCCGCCGAGTAATTCCCCCCATGGTTTGACACCGGGGCCGGCAGGGGGCACTTACTCTGCGAATTCCGCACAGCATACGGCGCATACATCATATCAAACCTTGCCCAAACAGCCGCCCCCGCAGGCACCTGCCTCCCCAAGGCGTCCATGGGAGCGCGGCCCCACATGTACCCCCCATGCTGCACCAGCTCATTCTGCCCCCCCCTCGCAACACTGTACTCATGTTCCACATGCGGCGGCGCCCGCAGGTAGCGAGGTGCCCCAGGATGCCCCGCGTAGTCATACCCCCTCGCAGCAACTGCAGCGGCCGCAGCGGCCGCGGCCTTTTGGGCGGCGGCAGCGGCTTCGGCAGCCGCCTGCACCGCCTTTTGAGCCGCTACGACGACGGCGTCATGAGGTCTTGCTCCAGGGGGGAGGGAGAGGATGCCCAGCGCTTGATCGCCCTGATATGCTGGAAACAAGCTTGACATTTCAGCTCCCCACGAGTTTCAAAACGGCTCACCAAAACCCCGAAAACCGGTCTTCGTACCAATTTGCCAGACCTAGCCGTCGTGTAAGCCCTAGCCTCGTATATTTACAGACACCTAACACAAACCAAGCGAGACTGGCGTCCTCCATTTCCCACAGGATGTGCAAGCCGCCATTAGGTGCGATTTGCGACAGCTCATTAGAATCTCAAAGAGAATTTGGAGATGATTCCTACACTGGCGAGGAAGACTCGGCAGTGGCATGGCAGACGGCGCGCATTGAGCTGCAGCATTGACATCAGTCAGTGCACTCCACTTTCTTTCCAACGTTGGGCCGCTGAAGTTCAAGAGGCGCACATGTCAACTTTCATTGCCGGACGCGCGGATCTTTGTACCGCTGACGTCAAGATATTTTTTGGAGTGTGGAAGGCCTATCGTCCAGCCGTCCGATTTGCGACTGTCGACGGCCACTGTGATGACAACGCAACATGCGAAATAGATTTGCGAATTCTCC